TTCTTGTATGGGAAACTTTTTTATTTGATCAGATATCTTTACGACATTTGACACAGATTATTGTGTAAGATAACGCTACAATCTACAAATAAATTGTTCAGATCGGACTATTATAGCATATAGCTGCCATACAAACTGGCCGATCAAAATCAAGAAAATAACCTTTTATACCCTTTTACGCTATAAAAAATGCAACTGTGAAGGGTGTTATAGCTTTGCTGCAGGCCAAATTAACGTTTTTTCTTGTTTTTCAGTCTGGCAATTCCATCCTTTGAGCGAATTGGTTCATACAAGTAGATATTCATTTGTAAGTGTGATTTATTGTAGAAATTTCAATTTCCCAACAATAAATTAACCAATAACTTGTTGCCACACAAGACCGGTAGCTTTTATTTATACTTTTTACATATTTACATATATGTATGTATATATCCCTAAAGATATTTGTTTATAAAAACGCGATAGGCAGCCACTGTATTGACATACAGAGGCGCATATACAATTTATCAGCTTTCTTGCTCAAAGTATAAAAAAAAATGTGTAAATACATACGTACAACCATAAGTGTAAACATACATATAGACTACTACAAATAATTGCCACATTTCTGCCTATGCGCATGTGCAGTTGTGCAACTTTAGCGGGCGGTAGTCAGTCTAACCTGCTGACAGCTAAGTTAGTACATCATTTATCAAAGAGATTGCGTTGTTTCCTCTACAGTATGCTGCTACATACATACGTGTGTATATACATATGTATGTAACCATTTATTTGATTTTGTAATACACAAGCGGAGAATAACGTATGCAAGCATACTTATAGGCGCTTACACCATAAACTGTGTGTTGAGATGTTCAGTCGAAGAGAGCGTAACCCATATTTTGAGTTATTGAACTGAAATTATGCGTGCGGCCTTGTCTTCTAAAGAAGTTGCGTATTTGTGGGAACAATCGATATGGGATCACTAAAACATGTAGTTGCCATACAAATTGAACGAACAAAATCAAGTACTTGTATGAAAAATTTTTAATTTGATCAGATATCTTAACGAAATTTGGGACAAATTATTGGTAAAGGCAAAGCTACAATCTCCGAATATATTGTTCAGATCGAACCACTTTAGCATATAGCTGCCATACAAACTGATCGATAAATATCAAGATAATAACCGAAAATACGCATTCGCAGCCATTGACATGCTTACTTTTGCGTTGTTATTATTTTCTTTTGCTGAATTGTTTTTGCAAGCGCTTTTTTTACGCTCAATTATCGAGAGCATGGGGCCACAAGCAGTGATTGCAGTCAGTCTGTTGTTGTCTGTCACTCATGGTGGCTCCATTCAGTTTATCTTCAATGGGCATTCATACATAATTACATACACAACCAACATAGTAACCAGGCATAAGCGTACGTGTGCTGATGCGCTCGTGTGGCTTGCTTTGCATGCGAGCGTATAATTTCCCTCCTAAAAAGCAACAGCATCAACAACGCAAACAATCGGCGGATATATGGATGTATGTATGTATGTATGTATGTGTGGGTAGGCCACAAGCACGCTAGCAGCTAAATAACTTGTTGTTGCAGCCTGGCGACGACAATGACGCTGACGATCAGTTGGAGTGGCAGCAAACGTAAAATTTAAGTGCATTTGTTGTTGTTGTTGTTGGCGAGTCGTTTAACTCGTACGAATAAGGTTGCCTAAATTACATGCAAAATTTATGTTGTTGTTGTTGTTTTTGTTGCTGCCGTAACATATGCAAACAGCTGTATGAACATATTTATTTGTATAGTACACGAGCGCGCGCACACACACACACACACTCGCACACGCAAGTAAATATAGAGTATCTGTAAAGGCGGCAAAAAACCGCAACGACCAACCGACAATCCATTCTGCAAGCCACCGCTGGCTTACACAGCCTACAGAAGCAATGCCCCCGTCCATGCAGTCAGTCAGTGAGTGTGCCGCTAGCGAGCAGAGCCGGCGCTGGCGACACGACACTGGCCACCCATGTTGTGCCAGGCGCATGAGGCCGCCACGCAGTTACTTAAAAAACAAACGCATACACACATAAATAAGCATGCAAATGTAAAGCAAAAAAAACAAATTTTGTATTGCTAGAGATTTGTTTGGTTGCCAATACTGACTAACTGACTGGCTGACTGAGTGAGTGACTGCGAAAGCAAAAGCCAGCAGCTTAAATGATGAAAAGCAAACGTAAACAGAAACAGAAATGTACACAACAGAAAACGGTGAAATAAAAATAAATAAATGAAAAAATATTTAAAAAACGCGACAAAGTCTGTTGCAGTGAGTGAATAAATGCATAGACGTATGTTTGTGTGTGGGAGTACGAGTATGTGTGATTACTGTGTTATGCAAAAGTATGTCATGCGATTTTTGTGAATTAAGCAATTACTTAATATAATCTTTTTTTTACTTTTTAATAAAAACAATTAATTACAAACTTGAAATTTTTTTTTTAATTTTTGCTGGCATAAAATTTTATGCGGTTTTGTGTATACAGCAAATACTAAATATATATTTTTTTCTTTTTAATTAAAAATAATAATCAAAAATTTTAAAAAGCCTTTTAAATTTTCCACTTTTTATTGAGCATAATTTTTCATTTAAAAATATAAAAATGTATTAAAATTAATATAAATTATTTTCATTTAATATTTTTTCTATTGAAAATTTACAAGCATTTGTTTCAAAAAATATATATTATATATATTTAGATATGGAATTTCTTTTCTATGAAAATGTACATTAGTTATGTACAGTTTTTTTTTTGTGAAATAGTTAAGCAGATAAATAGTTTCTATAGATATTTTTAATGGAAATTCGTACAATAAAAAAAATCGATTGTACAATTTTTAAAGCATCCTTCCTCAAAATATTATTATAATAATATTGAAAAACATTTGACATTAGAGAAATATATATTTTTTTTTACTTTTTAATTTGAAATAATTAAAAGCTTTTTTGGTTTTGGAGTATTATTTTTTATTCATTGAAATGAAAAGAAATATTGTAATAATGTATATATGTATGTACTTGTATATAACATTTTCAATATTTTATTACTTTTTAAACAAATTTTGTTAAAAAAAACTTTAAAAAATGTAAATATGTAATTTTTGTTCAGCGAAAAATATTTATGTAATGTTATTCATGTTTGTTCTTGAAAAAACTTAAGCGTATAAATGGCTCATTAATAATGCTGTTTTTTTTTTTAAGTTTTAATGTAAATGTATGTATATTCCACCCTGAGAAAATATCTATTGTAGAAAGAAATAATTTTTAATAAATAAACTTCAATATATGAATGATATATGAAACAAAATGTTAATCGTCTTTCTGTCTTTTATTGAAAAAAATTATAATAATAAAATGGTATTGCCAAAATTTCTATATAAAAAAATTAAATTTCTACAAAAATAAATACCGATTTATGATTTTCAATAAAATAGTCATCTAACTATGTTTTAATTCCGATAAAAAAAAAATAATAAAATAAAATATTTAAACACATATTTTTATTTATTTATTTTGCATAATGCGTGCAATTATTTTATTATTATTATTATTTTTTCTAAAAAGTTTATTAATTAAAAAACGAACTCATTGTATGCAAATGCTTGACTTTTAGGACACACTGTTTACTCACTATTGGACACATTTCAACCAGCAAAAGTTATCGCTGCACTGCGCAGGAAAGTATAAAATAAAATAATACAATAAAATATGTTGAACGCGAAGGCAGGAAGGCACCTTTTATTTATGCGCAATCGCAGAGTTCCTTTCCTTTACGTATCTACAATTTTTGCTTAACTACTGCTTTTGTTGCAGCTGCCAACGCTTAAGTAGCCAACGATGCGCTTTGATTGAAATGTTGCATTGTTTTTTTTTTGTTTTTCGTTTTTTAATTTCACTTTTTACTTAACTTTTAGCTTGTCAAAGGCAGACTGACAACTGGCAGCAGAAGTAAGCGTTTAACTTATTTGTACAGTGTTTAGATTCAGCTGATATCTAAGTAAGGTTATTTTAAAGACTTTTTCTTACTAATGTCAAATAAATTAGCTTTTTCTCAGAAAATTCTTATCAGCTTAATTTTTCTTAAACATTTCTTATCGGTTTACTTTTAAATCGAAAATTAAAAACATAAAAACGCATGCAGTTTTAAACTTAGCTTCTTTCGATGTTAAAGTGAGGTTATTCTGATGAATATTTCCTACCAAAATAAAATTAATTCGCTTTTTCTTAGGAAATTCTAATCGGCTTATTTATAAAATTGAAATTATGCTTGTAAATTAAACAAAATATTGTATAAAAACTTAAGAGAAGCCGCATGAAGTGCCAAGTACAGTTTCTTAACGTGGTTCGACGCCTATTTATGGTTTGTGTCCTCACTGTTATAATGCTGATAAAAGATTCTATTGAATGAGAAACTGTTTAACGAACGAAATTGTTTCACTACTACTAAATACATAAAATCTCTGGTGTCGGTATAAAAAATATGTTAATAATACATTTTCAGTAGTCCAACATATTGTTACTTATCTTTAGCTAGTTTTAGAATCAAGTGTGCTCTCCTTGATAGACGATAGATTATAAGTTTATAATTCTGTAGAAATTATTTTGATGAGACTTAATTTAGCTAGTGTTTAGAATAGCATCCGCCGAATTCGTGGTTAAAATGGCCATAGGCGGATGGAGAAGGTTTTCCAACACAAATATCTCAAAAAGCATTAGTCAGCGGCAATAAATATACATATGTTCAAACATACATTTTTAATCTGGGGAACCCTCTCTATTTGCCCCTTGCCATTTTAAACCCGATTCGGGGAATGCTGTTCTATAACTTACCTCGTAGTTTATTTAAAATATACTTTCTAGTGATTAGGTGTCTGCTTCTTTCATACACCCACCAAAATCATTAAAAATTTAACACATTTCAAACTCTTCATAGATAATATATAGATAATTTGCTCACCTTATCAATTTGATCGAGTGCAACGTGCGCATCCACCCAACTGGTGCGTACATATAAATCTGAAAATAATTTCTCATCGACGACATCGCCATGTGTGTCCGGCACTCGTGGCAGCCCATCCATAGTGGGCACAACCATTGTAAGGCGGTTTTGTTTCTTTTTCTTTATACAAACACCTCACCACAGTCGCCTGTGCGCAATGTTGTTTGGGGATTTATTGATTTTTAATTTTTTTGGTTCTTACTTTTGCTTTTGCTTTGCAACTTCACCAACACAAATGCGCCACACTTTAAATTTGCTGCGCATGCACCCTTATGCTGCAGTTGCTGCACTGTGCGGCAGAGAATGCGCTGTGCTTGCAGTTGACGTGCTGCTGTACGAGCGCGTTGCAAATGGAAATCGAAAAGGTTAGTCGGTGAAAATGTGACGTTTAATGAACCTTGTGGGCGCAACTTTAATTGTATTTATTTCTGTTATACCTATATATTGTATAACATATATTTATGGTATTTCATTAATAAACTGTGCATAATAATTTATTCAAATTGGTTGTTTTTTGCATTTTACTTAGCCTGACGCTATTCAAAAGCTACGCTAGCGTTTTAGCAATATATTTTATATATTTGGATTTTCCAAACTCGATTGACAAATTTATCGGCACGTACGCGTTTGTTTTCATTCATTAATTTCTGTTTTCATGCAAATATATATGTACAATATACATATATGTAATCTATATGCATAAGTATATGCGTATAAAAATATACAACTCAATTACTCGCTCAACTACAAATCTTCGACGGCGATTTGTGTGGCCATCTTCAGCAGTTGTTTTTCGCTGTCATTTATTTATTTACATATTCACTTTGTTTTAATCGCGCTTTTCGCTACTTTTGTTACGTTTTTATTTGGTTCGCATTAAATTTCGTTTCTTACACTTGTTATATATTTTCTTCATTTACTTTTTTTTTTGTTTTTGCCTCTTTCACATACATACACTTCGCTCACGTCAAGTGAATAGCGTCGTTGTCGCACACGAAAATTCCAATGAATGTCGTTTATTGCTCGCAGCAGTTGTGTTGTTGATCCTCGTATGGATTTCAAGGAACTCTATATTTTGTTTTCTTACTTTATATACTTTTATATTATGTACGTATTAAATCATTGTTGTGTTATACAATGCGTGCATGCGTACTATTAAAAAATTAAGTGCACATGACGCTAGGGCCACCAACGAATTTCTTTAATTCGACTTGGTGCTAAAACAATTTTGTAGAAGTTGTGAGAAAAAAATTTAATTCACACTTTTCACCACGCGACGTAAAATTGCCAACGTGCTGCCACAACGAGGATCGAATGAAATCTGAGCGTATTGGCTGAGTGCCTGGCACTCTAATGCCAGAAATTCTGCTGCTGCTGTTGTTGCTGACAGTGGTAGATAGAGTCGTTGCTATTAATGATGGTGTGCTGCTGCTGTTGCCTACCGCCTGTCGCACAGCGCAAGACCTACCGATGGCAGCGGAGATAAAGCAGAAATAACTTCATTAATTCATACAAAAAGTCATGCACTCATCTCGCACAATGTGTACCATCGCTGCTAGCGCTGCGCTCATACACACGAACACAAATGCACTTGCAACCGCACTCTTGTTATAACAAGCAAAAGAGCGTTATCACTCGCTCTCCGCCTGCTTGTTTGTATGTATGTGTTTCCTGTTAAATGCGGCCATTTTGATTTCTGCGCTCACCGTAACTCAATTGAGCAGCGTAGGCGCTCACTGTCATGCTCATGGCAAGTGTTTTTCTTGCCGGTGTGTGTATGTGTGACAGCGCTCCGATTTCCGATGGCGCTTTATCCGGCAATGTTCTGAGCATACCGCTGAGTCGTTATTTTTGTTGTATATATGAGTATGTGTGTTTCAGAAAGTATTTCTCAGAAGCGACTGCGCACTCTCTAGTCTCTTATTAGGCGGCGTTTCTCTTGAATCTCGTTGTGCGCATAACAATGCAGTTTTCGGAAATAGCATCATAGTGCAGTTTGTTAAAATCTTGTGCGGCAAAACGTTAATTTAAGGTGAGCAAACTTTTTTCGTGAGTATCCGTAAAACTAACCGTAATTGTCTTCATGAAAAGTATTGTTTTATTCAATTTCTCAAATATGTGCTCTTATAAACACTGTGCGCTCGAAAGAAGCGTTTTGAAGTTGTTGCTGTGCCTTAAGACGATTCTAGTCTTTTCAGGTGTTCGACTGAGCGCGCGAAAAGCGAGAGCTGAGCGTTAAAAGTTATGCTCTTTGTATATACAATTGAATATTTTTTTGTTCAGCGTCATCTTACTGGTATGTCTCAGTCGCGTTTCCAAAAGAAAATAAAGTTATTAAGACTCGCTTAACAATTCAATTAGGAGTACAGTGGTATTATTTCGGGTAAACAAATTAAAAAAAAAAAATTAAAAGAAAAAAAAAAAATATAAATAATAATTCAATTAGGAGTATAGTGGTATATTTTTGAAGTAAAAATAACAATAATTAAAACAAATGCCTTCACTAACGTTAGGTTAAGTTAGGTTGATATGCCGGATCATAAAACCCCTCACAGATAGACAAAGCGCTTGGAGCCTGTCACAAATTTGTTGAGACGGCCAATGGCAATTTCGGTTATATCTTCTGGTTTGTCCAAGGTAAGACTACCTAAATGTTTCAGCCTCAGTCTTGCAAAGGCTAGACAATGAAGGAGAAAGTGTCTGCATGTTTTAACCTCACCACACCTCCTCCATACAACTTTGACAACTAGCGTTTAGCCTTATCGCATGAACGTTTATTGGACAGTGGCCAGTAAAAAATTCTACGATTGCGGCAAGATGAACTTTGCTCAGGGCAAGCAGTTCAAAGATCTCCTGCGTTACACTCTAGGCCAAAAAGTTTTCGCAGTCGCACAGGAACTGGTCGTCGACCAGCGCTTCCTAAATGCGCACGAATTCCAATGGTCCAGTTCTAGAACGCAAGACGCCAATGGAGCTACAACTCCTTCCCATTCCGATGTGAGCGGGACAAGGGTGCCCGCTCTGGCTAGCTTAACGGCTTTGCGGTTGCCAGCGATTCCGCTGTGACTAAGCATCCAAACGAGTCTGATGATGAAGAAGCTTGTTGCTAATTCAAGTGAGATCAGACACTGCCTTTACTAAAAATTTTATAGAATTTTTAATCAAATAAAAATTGGGAAAAAAGCTTAATAAAATTGTAAATTTAATAAAAAAAATTCCTTAAGAAATATTATGATTGTAAGATCGATCTTCAATTAACTTTTTATTTACCAAGCTGCCACATTTGTTAGAAAAACCCTTTTTATAACTTTCTTTGTCAAACAGTTATTTCAAAAACCAAGATCTGAAAAAAGAAATTTTTGTTAAATAAAATGTATGTATTATAGGTATTTGGTGTCCGCTAGTGTGAAAAAAAAATTATTTAAAAAAATAAAAATTTTTTTTTTATTTCACTTTACCTTTCAAATCAACATCTAAATTAACCTTCTAAGGTGTAGCCGATGAGAACAATCAGCTCAATCAGTTTATCTTTAGAAACATTTTTATCAAAACTAAACTTTTCATAATAGCTTGATTGATTTATCGGAGACAAATGATACGATCACTATCAAACCAGTTTTGTGATCTGATCAAAAATCGAATTTTGGCAAGCCAAAAACGAACAAAATTTTGGCTAAAATTCAACTTTTATTTTTAATTTCGATTTGTGATTTTATTTTTTTAACGGTAAAACAATATCATCTAGTAGTTTCGTCTAATTTTGTACCGAAAACGTCAAATGCACGGAAGAAAGCTTCAAGTTCATACTTTTCACCACAATTTTTGGTGAAATTTTTACTTTGACCTCTAATATGAAATTTAATTACTTAAAAATACTATAGTCCCCAGATAATGCATCCTGAATATGTATATTTTCATAGTTACCATCAATGTGAATTAATCTTCATTTAAAAGAGACTCTCAAGTTACATCAACATTTGGGTTAGAGTTAAAATTTTGACACAATAGTACACCCTATAATATTCTTCCTATCGTTTATATTTTATACTGTTCTTCTTTATACCCAACCAGAAACTGAAAAATTGTGAAACGCTTCAACGGAAGAAGATTGTAAAAAAACCCTATTTTAATCCTTTTTTTTTGTTTGTGGCACCCAAAAAATACGTAGAATAATTTTCGTACTCCTTTTTCAGTTGAAATAGAAATCCCATCATTCGAATAATACTTATTGCCCATGCCGTTTTCTCGTATTCTCTCCCTTTATTATATGTATAAATTTTTTTGTGCTTTCCCTTTATCCTGCCTGTGGCACAAACATAGTACTTGGGCTATTGATACCGCGCATACAAGAGCCCTGCCCTCTAAGCCTTTCTACAAAACAATTTATTGTATAATCACAACAGCTTGGCTGCCTTTAAGTAGGGTGCGTTACACATATATACACACACACACGCACACTTGTAGATTTTCAGTCTGTCAGATCACTTAATTCAAGTGAGCCGCGGAACTGCGCCTAGCTGAAGCGATCAGTCGTCCATGCTATGCTGCCGTGCCGCCGGTGCCACCGCCATCACCCAACGCCATGCCAGTCAAATCGAACAACAACAACAACAGCAATAATAATGCCGCTTTTGTACCGCATACAGAAGACGTTAATGTCGTCATTCACAATTCAATATCAGCGCTTTGACGTGTAGATGGACGAACCGCGGACGGACACACATGCGGACGGACGAATGGCTGGACGGACATGAGGAATGGCGCGGCTTCGCTGTAGGTCGTCTGTTGGAAGTCGCCAACTGGTTGGCGGCTCATACGCTCACTTGCTTGTTCGCGACTCACAGTTCGCGACCACCCACAATGCTTCCGATTAAGGGAGACACAAACGAACACATACATACATGCATGGCTTTCGTACAGACACTCAACATGGCACAAACAAATCTACATACTTAAATATGTATGTATGTATGAATATGTAGCGATAGCAAGAGCAACTGCGTCGACGACGTTGGGGCTAAGTGCCGAATGCTAAACGAAATCCGCCGCAGCATTGATAAATGGTTATCATAAATTTGCGAACTTGATGCAGGCAAAATCAACCGTCGGCAAGCAGTCAGCAGTCAGCAGTCGAGAGTCGGACAGTGCACAACACTCAATGTGGATGTTGGCGGCGGCGTTGACCATGGCGACGTCGCGTCCCCGTTCGTTGGCGTTGTGGTGGGTCCAGCGTGGTGGTGCCGCTACTCTGATTGCTCGGTACGAGTGGTGCCTCTTATCGTTTGTTATTTATTTACGTGCATGAAAGTAAACAAATTTTTGTCATGTTGTTGTGTTGAAATTTGTAACATAAAAAATGGCATTTTACGATTATATTTTACGATACAATTTCAGTTAATTCAATATCCGATATACACATGCTTACAAAGCAATACATTGTATGTCAAATGTCATTTGTTTGTGGAATGTCTGTACGTACAGATGTGTAAGTAGGCGCATTAGGGTGTGCATTTATTAGTTTGAGGGCTTATCTACATTTACAGAATTAAATTTATTTTAATAATTTGCGATTAATTTTGAATTATCTTGATACCGTAGCCGATCGCCAGGGAGACCTCCAAAAAAGGATGTCTGGCGGTGAGGAAGATTTTTCTGCTTAAAATTTTCTCAAAGGCAAAAAGAGAAAAAAATATTTTTCTATAGATGAATAGAGGTAACGGTCGAAGGACTAGTCAAAATTTTGATTTGTGTCAAAATGACTACTTGCCAAAATTTTTTTTTGTGAAAAAATGTAGATTTCAAAGTGGCTTAAAAATCGAAATTGTTATCAAAATTTTAATTCCTTCAAGCAAGTGAAAATTTCAAATTGACCGGTGTAACCGTTTCGGAGAAATTTTTCGCACCGACTTTGGAAATAGCGTTTTGAGAAAACCCCATTTATTGACTTAGGAGCCGATTACACTAAGTTAAAAAATTCTTACAGATACGCATATATCTCCTTTATTATTTGACGGAATGAATTTTTGAAATATTCTCAATTATATAATATGTATATTCGATACGCAAAATTGAAATAATGCATTTCCTTATATTCACAATAATAATAAAACTCTTTCAAATAATTCAAAACTTATTATATTTTATTAAAATTTAAATTTATTTTAATAAAATTTAAAGAAAATCATGTCGTCTTCAGCATTGTATGGGAGTCACAAAAAGTTGTGTTTTGTGTTTATTATAAATTTTTTTTCCAAAAATTATTGTTATGCACTAGTACATTCACCCGACTATAATTTTGAAATTTTCAAAAGTGACCGTTGTAGTATATTTTTAATGATTATATTTCCGTTACTGAAAATTTCAAAGTTGTTATATTTTCACAGCGCTGTCATATAAACATTTCTCTGAATAATTTTTTTTCACAGCATTTAAATAAAACTAATTTTAGGGGAAAAAGTTAAAATCGTGTTTGAAAATTTATA